CCCGGGGCGGTGGAAGGGGTGCACGGATACCGGGACACACACACACAGAGACCCGGGTCCTCGGGGCGGTGGGGAAGGGGTGCCCGAATACCTGGGCACAGGGCGGGCCCAGACGCACGGCTCCCACTGATGCTGTCCCCCGCCACTCCCAGTCATCGGGCGACCTGGAGAACGATGAGCAGACGGCCGCCATCCTCTCAGAACTGGTGGCCACGGCCTGTGGGCTGCAGCTCCAGCGTGGCCATGACCCCCCCTTCAAGCGCCTGTCAGGTGAGTGTGGGCCGTCCCTGGGGTGGCTCTGACCCCCACCCTGCCCCCAGGGTCAAGACAGTGTCCCCCAGACTGTCCCCAGGGTGGTTGCCGGTGGCCCTGCAGTCCCCCAGGTGGCCATGACCACTGCACTCTCCCAAAGAGAGTCCCAAGACTGCTGTCCCTGATGTTTCTGGGGTGACCCCAAGTTATTGCCCCAGCAGTGGTGGCCCTGCTGTCCCTAGGGCGGCCGTGACCCTCACGCTGCCCCTGTGCTGGTGGCCCCGTTTTGCCCAGAACAGCCCCGACCACCGTGCTGTCCCCGTGGTGGTGTCCCCACCATCCCGGATGCTCTCCCCAGGGTGTGAGTGGCCCCGTGCTCACCCTGTCCCTGGAGTGGCAGTGCCCACGGTGTCCTTGGCGCACTGGCGGTGGCCCTGTCCCTGTACTCACCCTGTCCCCACAGTGGTGTTTGGGGAACACTCCCTCCTCGTCACCGTCTCCGGACAGAAGGTCTTCGTGGTGAAGCGGCAGAACCATGTCCAGGAGCCTGTTGCCGTCTGAGACATGGCCCTGCTGTCGCCAAGAGCTGGGAGGGTCACCCTCATCCCCACTGTCCCCAGGGCCTCGGGGCAGGGGGGCACGGGGACCGGGGGACCAGCTGCGCTGGCCCTGCAGCAACACCCACTCGTGTCCCAGTCACCTCGAGCGCTTTGGGGACTGCTCCTCCGCGTCTCTGCAGTTCCCAAGGCCACGTGGTGTCCCCGGTGTGCCTCAGGGCCCCACAGCATCACCCCCCATGCTTACCGTCCCTCTGTTGAGGCAATAAATTATGTCCTGTTCCCCCCGACCCGGCTTCTTTGGGGGGGGGATATGGGTCCACTCAGGACAGGGCACGGGGCGAGATGGGGCCCTCGCATAGCAGAGAGGGATGCAGAGCCCTTCGCGAGGCTCCCGCTCCCCCCAGTCCCGTTCCCTGCGACACCTCAAGTCACCAGCATCTCCTGTCCTCCCTCAGTGACAGACTTGTCCCCAGATCCAGGCCAGCACTTTATTGGCACGCGCGCACACACACACACACACGGACGGCAGCCAGCGCGGAGACAAATAAATAACAAGGAGTGTGAGGTACCACCTGTATCAGGAGGCACGGAGACATCCCCAGCCCCAGCGGGGCACAGGGGTTGGCAGTGCAGGACCTGCCATTGGCTCAGCACCCTGGGGACAGGTCCCGGTGGCCCCAGGGACAGGTCCTGGTCCGTTGTTGGCCCTATCCCACCCCACCCCCAGCAGCCAAACTCAAGGCAACGCAGGAAGCCAAAGGGGTGTAAACAGTGCTGGGACCAGCAGCGGGACATCCCCCTGCTTCCCCCGTGCCACCCCTGTCCCCAGAGCATTGTCACCCCAGGCTGGGGACAGACCCCTGTCCCCATTGGTCCCCCCATGGCACGTTCCAGTCCAGTCCCAGTGAAGCAGCAGGTTCATCCCCTGGGGGTGCAGGGACATGGCCCCAGCCCCCCGTGCACCTCCCCCCCCAAGAGCCCCCCGTGCCCCTCCCCCCCCAAGCTTGTCCCCTTCCAGCACAGTGTCCAGGACACAGCAGGATTCGTCCATCCCCGTTGTCCCCAAGGTCCCCATCACTTGACGGGCTCCACAACCAGCACTTTGCACTCCCGCTTGGCAATCTTGTCCAGGGACAGCACAGTCTTCTCAGGGGGTAGGTAGAGGGGACGCCCCACGGGGGACCCCACCGGTGGGGTGATGGCACGTCGCTCCATCACACTGCCTGACCTGGGGCGTGGGGAGGTAAGGAGGGCTGCCCCGGGTCCCCATGGGGCTGGCTGTCCCCTTCCCATGTTCTCCCCCTGGAG